TCGTTGGAGGCGAGCGACGATTTCCTGAAGGAGAGGATCATTCAACAACCCGAGAAGAACATACAGAACACCCATTACACCGAGGAACACATGATACGACGTTTGAAGGAGTACAGGTGATATGCACGTTATCCTTTATATCCGGTTTAAGTTCGCCAATAAGATCACGAAGTTAATTAAAAGGCTAAGTTTTATCGCAATGAATGTTTTGAAAATTCTGAGAATTAGACGGATGGAATTTGATTGATTTAAGGTTGACGGTGATCGAATGATTTGTTGGAACTTTTAGAATCTTTACAAGATTTTTTTCATAGAATTTAAAGGAAACGATTCGAATTATTCAGTGATTCTGAATTTATATTATGAATATTAAAAGAATAAGGGAATATAAATTCTTTTTTAGAACGAATGACATGATTAAATCTATGAATACAATGTTTAGTATTTGTAATTTAAAAAGAAAAATAATAATGCAACATAAGCTAATCAATGAAGTTTTCAAACGATCCAGAGTGGAAACGTTATTCACGCGACGTTTATCGTGGCACGTGTTTCGAATATCGATTAAACAACGCACAGCATACTTATCACGAAATTTATAACGATGCAATGAAAAATATTATCAAATCGCGTTAGAACCGATGACAAGAGGCTGATTATTAAATCGGAAAACACGCAACAATTTCCCTGTCGTTTATTCGTTTCGAATGTAAAAATTATTCCAACCGCTCGTCCGTGTAATTTTTCCACGATTTTTTATTTTCATTTTCGTATCCAAATTGAATTGACGTAAAGTTTTTACAAAAATCGTTATCACTTCGTTTCCTAGGAAGAGAAATACCGAAGAAAACACACCCTTGCAATTTTTCGACGAGATTGAAATTCATCCGCTCATCATCGACATAGAGGAGGATGACTGCCCAGACATGTTTCCCACGGTTTATCAGTGTTTGGAGAAAATTGGCCCACCGAGAAACTACGGTAAGAAATGGTCTTAGACGCTGTGAAATTCGTCGTTTATCACCTCCTTTGGTCGATGAGACGATTCTTCGTAAAAAGGGTAACATATATCGTGGTAACTTTTTTCTAGACAGCTTGTACGAGGATTTCGCAGAATTTTTCTCTGTCTTTAGATGAGTCGTGTCCCTTTTTTTTATGCACAGAGTCGTTCGTTCACCTGATGCAAGGAGAAGGTGATAGGTGTCTCGAGTTGAGAGAAATCCAATAAAAAATATGGAGATTGTGTTATATGTCGCGATAAAACCATGTGCAAAAATAATGGTTTTTATACCATACTTTATAAAGTATCGATATCGATTTCTAAATTTTTAAATAATATTATGATAAACATTTTACATGTATTCTCGTTGATTCAATTTTTATTTCGATCAAGTTAAAAATTGATTAATTAAAATGATTTCCATTTTCATCGCGTATAATACAAATTAATGTATGAAAGCTTTTAAACTTTTATTTTTCATGGACGCATTAGCATAAATTTCTTTCTATTCCATTAGGATTAAGCGCAGAGGAAGCGAGAAACGCGCGGAAACGCGCCGAGGTGGAAGCGCTTGAAGCGGAAACCGCCGCAAAATTGCAAGAAAAGAAAGAATACTTGGAACTCAAGCGACTACGTGAGCAGAAAATGGAAGAATGGGTTGGTGTTTATTGTTTCGACTTAACAATAATTGTATTCAATGAAAATCGATTATTCAGATTGCGAAAAATCCAATTTTTCTTCAATAATTTTTCAATGAGGAATTTATTAACGCGCGTTCTTCCATTATTAATAAATTATTAAATTGTGATTGTAAGGAAACTCTAAGTCTTAAAAAGAGATAGTTGATAAATCATTACCGGATATTTGATATTGGATAAAAATTATTAATATGATTAAAATTTATATTTTTAAAATAAATGTCATCCGGATTATCTATAGAATATTCTAATAATATTATGCTTCGTATTTCTCAAATGTAATTAATCATGCTTTATCCAACGTGGATAGATAAAGATCAATTTGAAAGTTTCGATAGAACAGGTATTCAGTGTGCATAATCCGAAATTCCGAAACTCGAATCGAGTAAAGTTTTATCTGACAAGTAACATTTCTATCGAAAGTTACGATCAATTAAAATTTCACTTGATGGCTTTATTTAAGTAAAAGCAAAATCTTGATTGATTAATGATTTTTTGATTTTTATTCATTTACTTTAATTTTTTAAAATTTCGATATTTACAAAAATCTACACGTTTCATTATTTTATCGAGAAATAATTAATCTATTTGTTTAATTATTGGATTATTAGGAAACGATAATGGATTTAAATAATTGGATAAATATACGTGTTAGAATTTTATATTTATTAAATATGTTAAAATTAATTGAATATATAAAATAATAAGAATATCTATGATTTTATTCAACTTGTTTAACAAGTTCAAGTATTTATCGATCGATTAATTAAATCGAAAAAATTAATTTACCAATTCAAAATGAAAATGAAAATCATTCACGTTTGCATAGAAATAATTTGACATTCGCGAAACGAGTCAACCTTTGATTTATTTCGACATACGATGCAAATGAATTAATAAAAGAAATTCGTCATGGAAAGAAAACCGTGAAAACATGGAAATTGTTAAAAACATTCGCACAAAGGATTACATTCGACACGATTTTTCGCGTTCTTTGTTTCATTCTCATCTCTCTCCTCGCATATCCTTTTTATCGCGAAAATAAAAAAGGAACTAAAAGAGCATAAGAAACCAGGAGCAGAATAACATTTTAATAACCTCGAATAAAAATGAGGAAAACAAAAAAATCTGGGTACAATAGATAGAATACAACTGTTTATATCCATTCTTTGTCTTGTCGTTTTTTTTGTCGTTTTGTATTAAGCAAACTGATAGAGATTATTGAATTGCATTTTACGCGATATGAAAATTGACTGTTGACCGATGCTTTCTTTCGTATATGTCGTATAATATAATGATATCGTTTCAACACCGAAATGTCAAATATTTTTTTTAATTTTATTTGTTCTAAACGAACACTTATCGCCACTCAATTCTACCATGAATTGGAATTTTTTTCATTTCGAGAATGACTTTCACTTTCATGGAACATTTAATTCTTTCTTCATGAAAATAATAATAATCCATCGAATAATAAATTTATTTGATTTATAAATTAAACTAATTCAATTTTACATGTTCTTGCAATAAATATAGTTTTATTGGAGTTGAAAAATCATTAAAAGTATTTATTAGAAATTGTTTTTCTATAAATATTACTTTTCGAAGAAATAGGAAAAGGTATATAGAAAGGAAGAAAGGAAAATATTTCATATATTTAAAATAAATAAAAGTTCTTCAAATAAATACTTATTAACTGACTTTGAATAATATAATTAAATCGAATAATAATCTCATCATACTTATGAACTTTATTTTTCATTCTTCGTAACTTTTTCTCTAACACGATAGATTTTTTGCAATTTGGCAGGACGTATACATATTTATAACATTTGCACGACAAATCAACGAGCTTTTTGCATATATACACGCATACTACATCTATTTATCTCAGTTTCGTGAATATACGTTATCGTTCCTCGGTTCATGAAATTTTCAACATTCAAAAACTTATTTTTGCTCGTGATAAAGTGACTTGTGACATCAAATTTCTGATCCCTACGAAAAAGCTTCATAAAGCCTATTTGTAATTCTAATTCAGTTTTTTTTCTCGTTAAAGTATTACGATAAATAGCTTCCATAAAATTTAATCAAACATGTACTTTCTTTTCGTTCTTTTCTTTTTTTTTTTTTTTCGTATAAGAAGTTCTTTCCATAAGTGTAAGATTAACTGCACGTTCTTTAATATTTCGATAATCCTTCCAAAATTTAATATTCTCGTAATAATCTCTAGATTAAACATTTTTCTTATTATTTATCGTCAATAATGTCTTTACTGTATCGACAAAAAAGTAAATATTATTGGTTCTTAGATTATTAAAAATACGAAAAAATGGTTCATTTTTAAAGAGAAAAAGTCGAGGTGAAATTTACTTTGATCATTAATTACAAGAAAGTGGAATATTGTTTTCGAACATACTTGTGGTAATGGTTTGTGGTTTGGTGCAGAGATATTTATCGTTAAAGTTTCCTAAAAATATCAGAGACGAATAATAAATAAAAGTGGAAATTGTTAAAGGAGGTCCTTTTTTGGTATTACTCTCCATAGTTTATTACCGTAATAAGAGTTGTACCATGTATAATGCAGCGAAAGTGTTTCATATCAAAAACCAAAGTTTATTATCGCAAAAATGTTTAAAAATTTATATCCTCTACGACATTAAAATCGTTTCATGGTAAATGGTTCTATTGAAAGTGTACAGTTGTTTTGTTTACGATATTAATCGATATCTAAATTTAACTAGTGAATTTAAAATTCAAATTATTATTCCGCTTCTTTGTAATATTCCTTCTCTGATATTAAAAATAAACTCTGGCATTGATATTAAATAAGTTCAAAGTCATCTCGAACAAAATATTATTGCTGTGGCAATTAATTTC